CCCCCCCCCCCCCCCCCCGGGCTGGGGACTCTATTTTTACATCTCCAACTTGAGCCGGGACCGTCATTTTAGGTGGTCTTCCAAGCCATGTGAAGGTCTCGCCATTTGCAGTGAAATGGGAGTACCGTCGTTTCTCAGTTATTTTAAGACCCTGAGTACTGGTCCGGCTTTGGGAATCGAACCCACGACCTCCCGCTCTGCAGTTTCTCATTTTGGATACTGAGCTACATTTTGTAATCCACCTTAGAAACATTCTGAAGATCATTCATGAAATCGTTTATTTTCATTTTTAACTGATCTTCAAAACAAACAAAAAAACAAAAATCTTAAATGTTCATTTCATTCAAATGAATAATATGAATACAAGCAGCAATCACGTATCTGATGAGCTGAGATTAAAGTTTAATGACTCAAAAGGAACTGCAAGCAAATGAATATGATCAGCAAAAATAACTCTCGGGAAAAAATATAAGCCTAAAAGTAAATGTTTTCTATGTATTCCAACACAATCATACAATTTAAGCTTATGTCTTCTTTTTGCGCGCGTTCGCGACGTGCATGCATGTCACATGAAAAAACTGCCACTCATGATCCGCAGTGACTATCAAGCTAAACCAAAGCATCTTCCTACAGGTATCCATCAGACATCCAATGACTCAGAAATGAAGATATATTAAAAACAAAATTCAAAGAGACGAGAGAAAACTTGAAGAAACCAAGCTTTCTCTAGACAGGAAATGAAATATACGAGAGAACACTGCCTTCTACGACTACAAAAGTTAAATTTTGGAAGACTTTTGCATAAAGATTTTTAGCAAGCACTTTGTCATTTTACCTTTAAAAATTGAATGTTCCCTTCTAAGATATCCTTTAGAATATTCATCCGCTAAAGCTTTGGATATAAGGAGGAAGCACAACGATAAAAACATGTTCGTGAAGTCCAGCATTGCTCAATCGCCAGTTACGATAACGTTAACTGAACTCTGCAATTTCTTATTTCAATTGGTCACAAATATTTCTACCCGGGTACTTTGAGTATGACTTTTGTCATTGGTAGAAAAGGTATTTTCTGAGGAATTTCTGGCACTTTTTTACTAAATTATTGATATTTTGAATATAAAAAATTAGCTTAACGTACTTTTTGTTGTATTTTGAGGCGTAAAAAGGGAGAAAAATCAATTCTTATTTAGAACAGCTAACCGTCCCCTCCCTTAAATCTAAAACAAAAAGACGAAAAAGGAAGTGACGTTGTTCTTGCTACGCACTCACTAACTTCCACTACACTGGAATTGGACTATGGGAAGGAAAACACAAGATGGCGGCCAAAACAGAGTCGCAGAAAAAGAGTAGGTTAGATTGGCGGAAAGAGAAAGAGTTAGAAGAAGCTAGAAAGGCTGGTACAGCGCCAGCTTTGACTGATGAGGAGGGAAAGTGAGTCGATGCTTATGATTCTATTTTAGTCGAGTTCTGTTTGATTAAAAGCCTTACCGTTGAAGGTACTAGCAGCATTGTTTAGATGTCATACTGAAATTTGTTTTACTATATTTTCCAGGGACATTAACCCTCATATTCCGCAGTATATTTCCCAAGCGCCTTGGTATTATGGAACATCAAGGTAGGAGAACAAAAGATGAATAATATTCTAGTACATATTGTATAAAGTTCCTTTGCCCTTTTCATTCTCCTTTCCAGCTCGTCCTTACTGTCTACACAAACTTGTTCTGACATTTGTGAAAGGAAATTAAAAGAATATTGATCACTATATTTCTTTTGTCCTTTAGGCCTACTTTGAAACATCAACGACCTCAGGAAGACAAACAGAAGCAGTTTTCTTCCATAAATGAGTGGTATAAGAAAGGAACAAATTTAGTAAGTAAAGAGTTTGGAATTTTACAAAAATCTTTTCCCCCTTGACAGCTCTGTCATGGAAATGCCAAGGGCATATTTGATTGACCATATTTCCAATAAAAATACATGGAATAATTTTTTGGCTTTCATTGCCTGCTAAATTCAGAAATCTCATGCCACCTCACCTCACCTATCCTCTTTGTGCCTTGTAGCACATAAAGCTTTCACAGAGTCCCTCCACTTATCTCGGTTAGCTGCAATGGTCTTCACTTCCTCCTATGACTACCACCCTGCTTCTACCCTTTCCTTTCCAACCATTTGTCTGAAGGTGGGTTTTTAGACTGTGAGTAGTCCCCTATTTTTCCTCAGGGATAGAAGAGCATGCTTGAAAATCACCCCATGTGAGAAAAGGAGACACACAGCAGGGAGAGAGAAAATTGAGGGACTACTGACTCATCTTCTCTCTCTCCCCGCTGCGTATCGTCTTTTCTCACATCAGGTGATTTTCACGCACGCTCGCATTTTGCTCGCTCTACTATCCCTTAGGAAAAATGGGGGACTACTATTCTTTTTCCTTCTGGTGACCAAATCATTGCTATGTTGAAGTTGCTGTCTTGGTCCTGTCTTAGTATAACTGTATGTCCAAAATCCAGAAATCTGGGGGATATAAATATTTATTTAAAACAGTTGAATGAGCTGGAAATTTTGTCCTGTAAATGTATATTGTTTTTTACATATTACAGCTGTAATTATATAAACAGAAATATAACATTAAAGATCTTATTTACAATTATAGGTGCCATCTGCTACTAAGTTTAGGAAAGGGGCCTGTGAAAACTGTGGAGCAATGACACATAAAAAGAAAGACTGCATGGAGGTATTAACATAATTTTTTTATCCTTGATGTCCTTGAAAATCAGTATGTTTTATGCACCATTGGGTTTCACTAGTCTTTATGTTTTGTGGAAGAAATATTGGGTCGCAATTTTAATGAACATACAATCATTTTATTATAAAATTATTCATTCATTCATATATTTACTCTTTGCTAGTCAACCCTTGACATAATCTTGCTCTCAAATCTCTCTGTATTTAGACAGAAAACTGTTTCTCACACACAACTGGGAGAAGCTGACCATGCAACAAAAACAACTTTTAAGTGAAAATATTTTCTTGAACAAACAGACTTTGCAAAGAATGAATAAATATTGTACATGCCTAAGCACATGCAGATCACAACACTCATGTCATTCCCTCACAATCTAGGCAGTTTAAGTAACCAATCAAAATAAATGGAATTTCTTGCTTGACCAGATTTCCCCTTCAGCTTTGTTGACCACAGAGGGTTCGATATTATCCTTGAACAATCTTGCTGTAAACTTAAACTTGTGACTGTGTGTTTATATATACTGTATCTTTTAATCTTGAGTGGAAACCAGTTTTACACTAAAAGGGCTAAATTATGGTTTTTTAGCTTTTCATTTTCAAAGCATTTCTAAGATCAATGGTAAACATGACAGTAGTAGATTCAGTATTCCTGAATTGTAGGGTCTTTTTTCTTTTGAGAATAAGTCATAACAACAGTTTTACTTACCGTTACTCCTATTTCAATGCTTTGAATGATAGTTCCTTGCAATGTAGTGAGGAGAGAGGTATAAAAATTTGTCTAAATTTACCTCATCCATGGATCGTATGTGGATCCCTGAGCCAGAAGTGAACACCCTTTTGCTAAATTTCTTTCAGTTCTGTTGGTTTCCTTGAGACACATATTTCTAGTTGTAATTGTTCTTTTCCAAGTGGGCTGATTACTTCCGTGTATTTTGTGTGCACTGTTCAGAGACCCAGAAGAGTTGGAGCTAAATTCACTGGAGATGATATAAAACCTGATGAACATCTACAACCACAACTGTCGTTTGATTTTGATGGCAAAAGAGACAGGTAAGAGAGACAGGCATTGTTTTTTTCTTCCTTTTCTTGGATGCTTTAATTTTAATAATGATGAAAATGGCTAGAATGATAATATTTATTAATTTTCGGCAAACTCCACAAATCCTTGCTCTCTGAAGAACTTCCACTTTTACCAATATTTTATTATAGAGTTCTGAAGTGTGATGTCATAAAAAATTAAATTTGTGAAATTATGGGATTTTTCGGGGTATTAAGAATGAACCACTTTCAAAATGCCTAGTTGCCAAAAATTAGCATACCAGGGCAAATTGCCTTTGTGATATTAGCCCAGTTATGTTCTGATGACTCCATACAAATCCTTCTAAATTTGACTCAGTTCATAACGTTAGGAACCGAGTCAAATTTGGAAGGATTTGTATGGAGTCATCAGAGCAAAACGGGACTAGTATCTCTGAGACAATTTGCCCCACAATGCTAGTTTTTGGCAAGTAGGCCTTTCAGATGTTGTTCTTTCAAAATATCCCAACAAATCCCATAATTTAGGAAATTTCATTTTTATGACGCATGTCATCACTTTAGAACTCTATGTGTCAGGGTTTTAGCTAACCTGCTCCACACACAGAACATACTCAGGCTAAGTCAATCTGTGAAAGAGCAACCAAAATCCTTGTTCTGGGTTCACACTTGTCATTGCCATTTTGTCAATTTGCCAATCAGGATGAAAGGAAACTTGAAATGCACCACTGTTGGGGACACGGAAGAAATATCTTGGCACTGTTTCGCTGACTTTACTAACCAAGGTTAAATTGCGCCTGTGGCACAGGCTAGGTTTTAGCCAGGAAATTGTAAGCAGTCCAACTCAACTCAGCTGGACTCCAATATGCCCACCTGCTAACTAGTTATAGTCACCATGCATCAGACTAATGATTTTTTTGTTTGAATGTTTTAAATGTCATTTTAGATGGAATGGTTATAATGTCGATGACTACAAGAAGACTGTTGAGGAGTATGTTAAGCTAGAAATGGTACGTATTGGACTATTAGTTAAATTTTTCACAGTTGAATAACCACAGTCATTGCAAGATCAACCACAAAAGTACGAGGCAGTCAGTAAAGATGAAATTGTTTACTGGAATCAGACTAATCTGACTACAGTCAACATTCTCATAGAGACCATTTCTCATAAGCGACCAATTTTAAATAACCATTTTGTTTCTCAGTCAAATACTGTTTTAAAAACTCTCTTGTAAGCTTTGTTACTGCTTTTTAAGGTCTGTATTGATCATCTATTTGATACATGTAACCTCAAGTATGGAAAAAGAAATTATTATTTTGAAAAAAAGTCTGGAAAAATCTGTACAAACCCTGATATAAGCTCAACCAACAAGAAGACCTTGTGTATCTTTAGGCCAAACAACACCTGAAGGCAGAGCAGCTTGAACAAGAATTAGCAGAAGGCAAAAAGGCTGAAGTAGTGGATGATGCAGATAGTGGTGATGAAGACAAGTATGCCGACAGAATTGATATGCCAGGACAAAAATTTGACACCAAGAGGTCAGTTTTATTCCTCATTTTTGAAAACTTCAAAGTTTGTGGCAAACTAAAATCTTCCTATTACATTTCAGCCAATTAAAGTAGTTGCTCCTATGCCTTATTGAAATTATTGATATTTTCTTGGTACTTTTCATGAATTCTTAGGCGAACAACTGTGAGAAACTTGAGAATTCGAGAAGATACAGCAAAGGTACAATGAAGTAGATTATTTATTTTTATTATAATCATTGTTGGTGGTGGTTTTATTGAAAGTGATCGATGAATAATAATATAAGGTTTTACATGTATGTATGCTTTTGAGGCTGGGGTGATGTCTTTGTAAATGTATTAATTATTATTTTTTTCAGTTTCAAATTAATCTTAACATTTGCCAGTAATTCTCAAGAGATTTCTTCCTGCAGATCATTCTGCTGTCATACCATGTATTAGATTTCACCGCAGACTCAGACAGTTCGAACCATATAACCTGACCAAAATATTCTGTTATAGTATCCAAAACTACCATTAATGGAGGAGATTAGACACTGACCCCAGAGGTTCAAGTGTGAGCCTAACCTTGAATCTATTTTTCTAGTATTTGTACAATTTGGATCCCAACTCAGCATACTATGATCCTAAAACAAGATCCATGCGAGAAAATCCCTTCAAGGAAAGTGAAGGAACTCAAAACAAGTAAGTGCATTATAAAGCGCTGTCTTATCAGACACGTAGAGCTATCTTAATAAAGACAAACACCTAAAGTCCTTCCCCACTGTTCTTCAATCAATGTTTACTTTCTGTAAGGAGGGCACCTCCATTTAACACTGACTTTGGGGCATTTCCAACAGTGTCTGTCTAAGAGAGAGTTAGCACGGTCCATGTTCTATTTTGCGTGGCAAGCTCTTTAAATCTTTCAAAGTGAATTTTTGTACAGCATTTGGTTGGACAATGTCTGTAGTATAGTGTTACACATTTTTGTTATAGCCTCAATATGTTCCTTGTCATGGCAAAAGCAGTGGTTTATAACAGTAGCAGAAGCCACTACTGTACTGAGTTGAAAAAATGTTCTACTACTTGTAATATTATTATTATTATTATTATTATTATTATTATCATTATTATTATTATTATTATTAATTTAGTTTAGTTGAAATGAACCATTTTTTAATGAATTTTTCCAAATATATGATATATTTTTAATGGATTGTGAATTTTTTTCAATCGAAATTAAATGTCTTTTTTTTATCGAAAGGAATAATGTAAATAGTGCTTTGACTAAATAGTTTTTTTAAGTGAAATTAATTGTAAATAGGATTTTATAGTTGAATATTTATAATTTATTATTATCATTACTATTATTATTATTATTATTTTACTCTCAGTGTGACCTATCAAGGAGATAATTTTGTTCGTTACTCTGGAGACACACGGAAGATGGCTCAGACACAAAGTAAGTCCTGCATCTCAATCATTGCCCTTTTTCATTTTAGCTAATGAGGTTAAGCTCGATTTGTTTATCTTGCACCAATTTGGGGTCTTTTTCTAAACAGACCTTCACTGTTTTGATGGAGTAGAAATGTAGAAATGTATTTGATCAAAAAAAAATTGGAGAAGCCATACTTGAAACATTTGATTATTATTTTTTTATCATGTAGTTAATATTTGCACTTACCATGAACAGTTCTTGTACATTGTATAAATAGTAATAACACAATTTTACCGATACATATACTATTAATATATTTTGTAAATCAGATATGATGTAGAGCTATTTGTAATAAAGTTTTGTTAACAAACCATTATAATATTAATTTTTGAAAAAACCGTGATGGATTATTCCATACACCAAATGCACTGGCCTTTTGACAAGCTCAGTTTTGATGTTGAGATTCAGATTTGCTTTGATTGAGATTCAACTGTACATGTAGCTTAAGTTGATGATAAATTTGCAATTACTTCTTATTTTGCTCATTTTCTTTTGACAATCAGTGTTTGCTTGGGAGGCTTATGAGAAAGGAGCTGATGTTCACTTACAAGCTGATCCTACCAAACTTGAACTGTTACACAAAGAGTACAAGGTGAAAAAAGGTGACTTTGAACAAGACAAGAAAATGTCAGTTCTCGAAAAGGTGAGAATTTTGACCATGAATGAAAGAAATTATTGATTTTTTAAACTTTTTTCATATCAGTCTTTAAATCCACAGTATTTTGCTTCGTAATGAGGAAGGAGAAAGTTGACTTTATCAGAAAAAAGCCACAAAACAAAAGTGGGAACAAAAAAGCAGGATAAAATATCATGAAGTTCGGAGTTAACAAGATGGGATGCAATAGTCTCCTCCAGCAAACCTTAGTATAGAGTTTGTGACAGAGTTAGTTTTATTCTCTGGTCTAATGACTTTCTTTTAACAGTATGGAGGTGAAGAACACTTGAATGCACCTCCCAAAGAACTGTTGTTGGCACAAACGGTAAGTTTTTAAGAATTACAATATACACTTATTACTCTATTTAATTATAAATGGTTTATTTCAAAAACAATGAATTGTACTAGAATTGTTTGCACACATTCTGCTCAGCTACTTTAACTAACAAAGAAAACTGCATCCCACCAAAGAGGACACAGCACTGCAATATCTACATTTTCAACGCTGTGCTCTAAGGAAAATTGAAGGAAGCTCAGTCCTCTGAAACTGTAAAATCTAGGGTGCCCAGCATATGATTTGTATGAAAAATCTGAGATTTTCTAGTCGCCCGAGGGCAAAAGTTAGGCGCCAGGGGCCACCGGGCTCTGCTAGAGCACAGCCCTGATTTTAATTCTAACTGATATTGGAGAGTAATGGTGTACAAATCCCAGTGAATGTTGTCCACTGAACACCGTTTTCTTGTTTGCCCTGCTGTGGCCTTAGATGTGCGATCCAAGAAATTCCCAGCCCCTAGCTTGTAAACCAGTTTTTTCCTGTTCCCCTTGGAACCATTCATCAAGTGGTAAATCGTAGATAAATTATATGGCATATCTACATTGACTTACTGTTATGTCATCTTTTTTCTGTGCAGGAACAATATGTTGAATTCTCAAGGACTGGAAAAGTTATAAAAGGTAAGCTAAGAACTGAGACCACAACAAGTTTTCTTGTCTGTGTTACTGATGTTGTTAGGTTTCACAGCTCTGTAAAGAACATGTGTTACATGTCAAAATTACATTCATTTCTAACCTAGATTGATTCTCAGTTTCCTTTGTCTCCTAATCCTGATTATTCATAATGAACAGGCAAGTTTTGTATTCCCAGGCAGCCTAGGATGAGTGCTTGTTTTGAGTGAAAGTGAAGCTAATGCGTGTCACTTCTCACCAAGAAAACAAACAAACAACAGAAAATTTTCCAGCTGAGTTGCTGAAAAAAGGGAAAATTCTAAGCATTGAAAGGTTCTTAGTTCCATAGTACCATAGGAAAGTACTTGTAAGAAGCTTTATTATTTGAATGGTCCACTTGCCCAAATTAAATGAGTGGAATTAATTCTTAATAAATAAATCCTTAAATCCAGATTTAGATATGATCAACTTGATCTGATGAATCATTGTAGTGTGAATATAATCCTTTTTTTATTTTTCTAAAGAACTGCGCATGTTTTACCTCTCTTTTGCATTCAACAATCTGGATTTGGATTTTCCCACAGAAACACACCCTCTGAATGGAATCCCTTGTTTTCTTATATACAGGTCAGGACAAAGCTGTTTCAAAATCCAAATATGAAGAAGATGTGTACATAAACAACCATACGGTATGTTAGCATCAACATGCATATTGACTAGATTTGCCTCTCTGCATATAATTTTTATGTTTCTAATGAGGAGAATTTGTTTTTGATTTCTAAATTAAAGGGTTCATTTTCCTTACAACCTAACAGCCTGGTTAAAAATCTCTAGAGCTAAAGTTACTACAATGCTTTTTTCATTTGGAAAGCTGCCGGACAATCTCAATCCTCTTTAGTTATTTTAGTTATTGATCCAGGGACAGGAAAAATTTTCATTCATTGAGGAGTGCTGCAGTTACAGATTAAAGATTTGGTCTCCTGATGTTATTTTACAGAGCGTTTGGGGTTCTTACTGGCAGGAGGGAAAATGGGGATATGCCTGCTGTCATTCTTTCATTAGAAACTCGTACTGTACCGGTGACGCTGGCAAAACAACATCAGCTTCAAGGGTAGGTGTTGAATGCACTCTGACGTGACAGTTACATGTTATGTCGTACAAAGGTAGTAATTTTATAGAGGTTGTTATCTTGGGGATCAGGAGAAATAGTAGAAAGTCCACTAAGCTTAATTATCTTACTAGTTTAAATTCAGGCACTCCACTTCAGTTGCTCAATTATAAGCAAGTAATCCAAATAGAACATAACAGGATTAAAAAAACCCACCTGCTGGAGGTAACTAGTTGGCTATTTACAAGCATGGCCGAGGTATTGAACTCAGAACATCTGAGAACAAATCCTGCAAGCAGCCCACAAGATTGTGAGTTCGAAGTGCTGACCACTCTGAGACTTTGCCTTCTGAGAACTGTCCATAAACATAAACTTAAGGTATTCATATTATGTAGGTTTCTGTATGGAGAAATTCTATTGTATGTAAGTGAATGCAAGTTGTGATCTGGTTCAGTACAGAATTCAGTAAATATTATTAACTGAATGATCTGTGATCTGCAGGCCATTGCACCTGTAACAGATGCAGCAACAAGAATTCAAGAAGCAGAAGAAAGTGGGAAAACATTACTGGAGGTTTGTTTGATTCATATGCATTATGGACCAAATATGAGGCCAATTTGCCTGGATGTTGGCCAAGTCTTTTTTTTTTACATTTTTGAGGAGCAAGACTAAGTCAATGTTACTAAAAATGCAAAAAAGGGTAGGCCAATACAGACAAGAGTATCAAATTCAAACCTGCTTTGTTGTATGCATAAAAGCAGTAAATTTTAGACTACAACTTTCCTGAATAATTTTTTGGCCAGACTGAAAATTTTTTCACACATAGAATGCCTGGATAAAAATCCTCTGAAGACATTTATATCAGGTCAAAAAGAAAGCTGAACTGACAGCAAATGTATGCAAGAATGAAAAACTGAATCTGAATAAGTGAAAACATTAATAGAATGTATGGAAGTATTCTTGACCTGGCTTGATATTAGATGATAAAAATTTTGTGACCTATGGGCTAGCCTTACTGTAAAACTGTTTTCTCAAAGTTGGGCCTTTCACGCAAAATAGATGTTGTAATTAATTTTTCACCGCACTTAATTTTTATTTTTCCTTTGTTTCAAATTCAGTGGCATACATAACCATACCCAAAACAGTGGAAAAATTGAAATTACCTGAGTTAAAAAATTAACTACAATATATACCTCTTTAAGAAGGACACCTGGCAGTGATTCTGGAATAATTATTGTTTCTTTGAAAAAAATTTTCTTTCTGGCATAACCAAAATTATTGTATTTTGCTAACTTTTCAGCTTCATCAAGAAAATCGAAAGAAAGGAAAGAAAAGAGAGAAGTCAGTAGATGAAGATGATGAGGAAGTGAAAAGGGACAAACTTAAAAAGGTGGGCCGCTCATATATAACTTTGGATTAAAATTGTAACCTTTGATTGTAGCACAAAGGGAATGAATTTGCACATGCTACCTCCGTGTCAGTAAGTTACTTCTTGTGAGTTGCACTGATGAAGATTGTGGTTGCGATCCAAATTTAAGATGTGGACAGAATCTGTGGCCTGCTGTCACTATGTTTTTTATTTTGCATGGAGCGAGATTTGATAATCATCCAGAAGGTATTAAAATAATGTCAAGTCATCACACTCTAATGCTTTCTAATTCGTGTTTTAGGCGCTAAGGAAAGAGGAACGTAACCAGCAAGAAGCTGACAAATTACTGGCTATGGATGAACGTAGAAGGCCTTACAACTCCCTCAAAGGTGATTATCATGAGGTGACCGAAGAAGAGATGGAGGCTTATAGGTTAAAACGTCGCCAAGAAGATGACCCAATGAAAGACTTTCTTTAGTAATGGGAAAAGTGTGGGCAGTAATACTTCAAAGTTGAATTGCATGTTCAAACTTGTGTCAAGCTTTGCAGTCAACGCTGATAGAAAGACTTACTTACTTGAGGAAGTTACATCAAACATCGAGTGTATGAGACAACAGAACTCGATCATTGAGGACCGACCGAATGACCGGACTGATCAAAGTGAACCACCTTGAAAAATGTTGATGACCAGTTCTGAACGAACCGAAGTGGTCCATTCCATTTGATTTCTAACCGAAGTTTCCGGAATTTGGGGCTGAATGGAAAGCGCCTTTCCATTTCTGTGGCTGCTTGAATATAGCCAGTAAAAGGCTGCTGTGGTTGCGCGCGCGTTGATGGTCTTAAGGAGGATCTTTTTTGGTTCGCTTTGTCGTTACTTTTTTATTTCACGTTTTCCACGTGTCTGCCATCATTACACGAACATGTGATAGTTCAGCAATACATGGTGGTAGTGGCAGCGCTCGACTGGGTCGAAAATCAATTTTGATTTGATATTGTTTTGATTTTATTTCAGTTTCTTTATTTGTCTTTTAATTCAAAATGAAAAAGAAAAATAGTTACAAATAAAATGAAAATTATCAAAAATAAATTTTAAAAAACCTCATTTTTTTAAGGCAGTTCTCGGCCACCATAGAGCTGTTTCGGAGTCGGTAACATATCGTCACTTTATCAAGAACTGTCTCAGAAAGGCGGTACTCTGCAAATATGGACCTTTTTTATCATTTTCTTGTGAAACCTGAACCATCGCAATACCTAACAAACAGTCGGTGAGTTTTGCTTTGCAAAATTTGTATTTTGGACGTTGACTTCGTCGTTGAATTAATTGTAAATTTATTGTTTCCCTTTGCTTAGAAAATTTAACCATAGTTAGTAGAGGAGACTGGTTATGAAAGCCAGCAAACATCAAAGTTGAAAACAACGGTGCTGTAGTTTATGTTAGAATCTCCCTCACCGTGCACAATCCTTTGTTTTTTGTTCACAAATTGTCACTTAATAAATAAATGCGGTGTCTGTATTGGTCAGTAAGCTTCAAAATGATAGGTATGCTATTGAACGTCGTGCACAGTCAGGTCCCAAAAAAGCTTACAAAAACATATAAAGAAGGAGTCTAACGGGTTTCATAATCATCCCACTTTAATAACTATGATTTAACTAGAGACTTGCCAACCTCCAAAAGGCAAAAAATGTGAGAATCTGAACCTAGGGCTGGGAAAAGAAGTGGGAAATGGGTAAAAAGTCGTGGGATGTCCCAAATTTCCCAGTGAAAGGAATTTCAGTGGAGATTATGGGTATTAGAAGTCTCTATCTCAGTTTAAAGCTCATGGAGAAGTTAACATCACGATCAATTTTATGATTTACGTTTTGTTTATGCGAGAAGAGTGTATACCATTATACGGGCAGATTGGAGCAAATGCCCATTTTTAAGAAAACTTTAAGTTTATGCTTTTGCAGCAGACTAATCGTAAAGTTTCCTAAAAAATGAGTTTTTGCTCCTTTGACGGGCATATTACCATACGTGAGAAGAGCGTATTTCTATGTTTTGTTGGCGCCTTCTTGAAACAAGAGAAGCAGGAAGTCCGCACATTTGGTGGCAGCGTTAAGACGCGCTAGGCTAAAGGAATGTAATCAAACGCGACCGCTTAGGGTTTTTTTTGGGGGGGAGGGGAGGGGGTTTGAGGTTGAGCTTGCTATCTATAGATATCTAACTTGGAAACGAACCCTACAGCTCCAGAATATTTTGGAGATTGAATTTTCGAGAAAGCGTGAGAAATCAGTTGCCAACTCGTGAGAGAGTGAAACAGGTCCTAAAATCGTGAGACTTGGAAAGTCTGTAACTAACCATCGTGCATACTTGACAAGTTGTACAAACAGTGGAATAGAAAGTGGAATAAAAATACGTGCAGATGTTAGTTTTGGTTGTCGATTTTTCTTTGAAACATTTGCCTTCCGCTCAGCAAACCACAGGTCACCCATCCAAGTGTCCCCCTTAACCCATCCTCACCCTCTACAGACGACAAGCCATCTCTGGTCTAGAATAACAACAACAAGGTTTATTTGCATGACTGTTGGTAACATTGTAATACAGCATTGCAAAAGCCACTTAAATTTAAATCTTATTTATTCAATTAATTAAAATAACTTTGAAATAAGAAAGGAAAAAAATGCAACCATCACTTATTTTTAACCATTCTTAAGAGCAGTTATTTCAGAGCCCACTTTGTCTTTCAATTCAAAGCATGATGAGATGAATGAAATTAATTGAATGTTTATAAAATAGTCAGCAGAATGGACCTTACGCATGTCCTGCATCAGTTTATGTCAGACTAGCACTTTTCACCACCAAGCCTCTTTTGTGAACAAAATTCTGCAGTCGTACGTACTGTTTTGGAATTTATATATGGAAGAATTCTTAACGTTCATTGTCGGTAAAACGTGGCTTGATGCTTAAATTTATTCGTCTGACGTAAACATGCATAAGGGAAATTCATTAGATTTGATCACAAGGTCTCATTTGATAGTAGTCGTATAAATGGGATTTTAGGATCTGTTTTAGAAATTGAAGATCATGTTTCTTGTAGACGAGTAGCTTATGCAATCTAGTAAGAAATGAGTTTCATCTTCAATTCCGTTACAGTGGCAGTGACTTACTTATACATAAATTTTCGGCGTCACGAGATATATTGTCATATCTATCTGTTTCAACCCTTAAAGTTTGTGACTGTTAAATGTCACCATGTTTGAGGGTGGCTAATACTCGCCGCTTGTTCAAGTCGTGAATTAATTTCGTGATTCCGATTGCTACAACTTGTACGAGTGGTGTTGAAATGACCATACTCTTTATTCAGATAACAGATAATTTTCCATACAAGACTGATTCCGCCTAAAAGTTGAGATCCATTCCGAGATACTGAAATCCGTTCCGAACTAGATAAAGGAAAAACCGAAAACTGAATGATCCGATTACACATTACGATTACACGCCTATTTGTCACGTGTTCTCGAGCTATCTCGGCCCAGTCCTATCTTGTTTACAACACACTCCCCCCTGATTGACGAAGTCAATCACAAGGTGAGAAAAACTAATAACTCAAGATTTAGTTCAATGTTCGAAAACTCCAAAGTCTCTGCTCAGACAGATTTAGTAGCAATAGTCACTGCTGGAATATCCTCATCTCTGACCACCTGAATGTTTCGGCTTCCGGGATGCACACTAGCTCCTACTACACTAACTGGATCCTCATCGCGCGCATTGACTTCAAGTGGGTAGAGCTTCTGAATTGGTCGTTTTAAGCGAACCTGGCGAAGAGAATTGTCCACTGTAACCACTTCTGCTGCACGCACTACATCATCCCTTCCGCGTAGAAGCTTTTCTACTTTACCCATCCTCCACTGTTGTCTCGGTTTCTTATCCGCATGGATATGCACAATGTCCCCTACTTGAATTGCTCTCTTTGGCTCTGCTACCTTGAGTTTCTGGTACTCCCGGATTCCTGTCAAATATTCTGTTCTCCATCGATTCTTGAAGTGAGTGAGGAGGCTTTGCAGATATCTTTCACGTCGTCCCATTGTGCGCAGAGATTCTGTGGATACGGTAGGCTTATCAAGTAATCTTCGACCAATTACGAGATGAGAGGGCGTGAGTGGATCCTCTGACAACTCTTCGTAGACATAAGTTAGGGGTCTAGAATTTAGAACACCTTCAGTTTCAATCAAGACTGATTCTAGTTCCTCATAGCTGAGTTTTGCATTTCCTAGAACTTTCTTGAGGCACCTCTTTACAAGCTTGACGCATATTTCGAAAAAACCACCCCACAAGCTTGCTGTAGGTACATTGAATTTCCATTCGATGTTTCTTTCAAGGGTAAACTTCTTCACTTTAGCATCCTTGAAAGTTGCTCCATTGTCTGAAATTATCAGGCCTGGGAATCCTCTTCTCCCGATGAATCTCTTCAAAACTCGTATAAATGAATTTGCAGACAGGTCTGGAGTAAGTTCAAGGTGGATAGCTCTAGTGCTGGCGCACGTAAACAGAGCAATATAGCACTTGTACATCTCCCCACCAGATTGGTAGATATTCTTAACATAAAGCGGTCCGGCAAAGTCCACACCGACTTTAGTGAAAGCCAAATCATCCGAGACTCTAGAGGTGGGTAGCGGAGGAGTGGGTGGAGTACTAAAAGCTTTTCCCAGCATCTTCTTGCAAATCACACACTTGAAAAGAACATCCTTGACTGCTTGCCTTCCCTTGATTATCCAAAACTTGCTGCGAACTTCAGTTAGTGTTTCTCTAACTCCATTGTGCTTCACATTCTCATGAGACTGTCTAATCACCAGTTGTGTGAAGTACTGTTTCCTTGGTAACAAGACAGGAAATTTGGCTGAATATGGCAGTGAACAGTTCTGGATCCGACCTTTGCATCGTAGGACCCCATCGGCATCCTTGAAGACTCCTAATTGTTCCCATACTGTACTAGACTTTTCCTTCTCGTCCAGTTTCAATTGCATTTCCTTGTACCACAGGTGCTCTGCTGCAATTATCTCCTGCATATTAAGGTCAGGTTGGGTCTCCATGCTTCTCTTGACTTTGCGAATGAACTTCAGGACGAGGGCTGTCACTCTGATAAGCCTGCTAAAACTACTGAATCTTTCCGGCTCAATGACTTCTGAAACACTCTGAGAGACCTTGGATGATGCTGTCATGAAACTTGAAGTTTTAGTTGCATCTCCAACTTTCAACTCTTTTACAGCTTCACTTGTCACTTTTTCTCCAGTGATGGGACAGTTAGGCACATTTGGCCATTGCCTTTCTTCTTTTTCTAGGAATGGAGCTCCCTTCCACCAGAGATCATTGGATACAAGATCAGATGCTTTAGAACCTCGTGAAGCAATGTCACTTGGGTTAAGCTCAGATGGGCAATATCTCCAGTGTTCCTTGCTCCAAAGACTCCTTATGTTCTCTACCCGATTTTGGACGAACTGCTTAAATTGCTTTGATTCACCATTGATCCACCACCACACAATTTGAGAATCAGTCCAGTTAATTACTGCATCAACTTCAATTGTGCATGCCAGCGCCTTATACACTGCTGTAATGAGAAGGGCTAATGTCAAACAAGCCATCAGTTCAAGTCGAGGAATTGTTTCTCCTTTCAAAGGGGTCACTCGGGTCTTGGAGGCTAGCAGGTGTGAATAGTGTCCATCAGACGTTGTCACCCGAACATACACATTTGCACCATAAGCAATCCTGCTTGCATCTGCAAACCCGTGTAGCTGAATACATTTGACCTGCTCTGCTTCTATTCCATCCATGATGCAACGGGGGATTGTAAAACTTGAAACTCCTTCTATGTCTTCCACCAATTCCTTCCAACGTGAAGTGAGGTCTTCCGGAAGAGCTTCATCCCATTCAACCTTCAGCTGGCAAATTTCTTGAAACATGCATTTAAATGGCAGAATAAGTGGTGACAGCAAACCTAGTGGATCATAGAATCGAGCAGTAACGCTCAACAGTTTTCGTTTTGTTAGAGTTCCACTCAATGTCTGCTTAGAGAACGTACTGAGATCAAACTTGAAACAGTCTTCTGACTTGTCCCACATAACACCCATGACCTTGACAACAGTTTCTTCACTCATGGCATTGCTGTTAATGGACTTTGGTTGATCAATAGTTTCAGTTTCAACAGACTTGGTTGGTTCCACTGCAGGTTTTCCAGATAACAGAGTGGTCTCTTCTTTCTTGATTAATTCGTTTAACTCGCTGCTGTTTGACGCCCACTTCCTCATATTAAATCCTCCTTCCCTGAAACGTGTTTTCAGCTTCTGATAAAGTTCAAAACAGTCCAATACAGTGTTCTTTCCAGATGCAAAGTCATCAACATACAAGGCTTTGATTACAGTGCTCACAAACTCTGGGTCAATGTTCTCATACTTTGATAAGTGGTTCCTTAATGTCACATTCAGAATGAATGGAGAACAAACAAGGCCAAACACTAACCGCGTAAATCTTAACTTGATTATTTCTGGATTCAAGGAGTTGACATCATCAATCCATAAGAACCTCAGCAAATTCCTATCCTCCGGCTTGACTTCGACATTAAGAAATGCCTTCTCTAAATCTCCGATCAAAGCAATTTTTGGGAGACGAAATCTCAACAGGATATCAAAAAGCAATGGAGTTAATGCAGGTCCAGATAAAAGACAGTCGTTCAAACTTGGCTCGCTGTAAGACTTTGCGCTAGCATCATAAACAACTCGCAGTTTAGTGGTAGCTCGATCTTCCTTCAGTACTTCCTTGTGAGGAATGTAATGAACAGTTCCTGGGACAACTTCCTCTTCATGCTTGTCAATCACTTCAACAACACCAGAGTCCAACTGTTCTTTGATTACATTATCATACTGGTTTAGTAACTTTGATTCCGATGACTTCAATCTTTTCAACAAGGAGACCAGATGGTTTCGTGCCAAAGAGTGATTGTCTGGAATGATGGGGTGTTCTTTCTTGAATGGGAGAGAAACTTCATAGCGGTCACCATTGAATCTTACTTTAGTTAGATACTCTTCACAGAAATCTTCTTCCTTTCCTTTAACTCCAAGAGTGTCATAGTCCCAAAACTTGGCTAGTTGTTCTTTGAGTGAGGCATCAT